TCCCTCTACTTTTAGTGGAAGTGACCAAATGGATCTTGTTCCAAGTGGGAGCGAGATGGTCACAGATCTTGTTCCAAGTGGGAGCAGGATGAATGATCTTGATCCGAGTGAGAGCAACATTGATCCAAATGGGAACAATGATGAATCACAAGTAAAACGTGGTTCTTGTAAAAAGATTCCCCGTCGACGATTTGATATTGAAGGCGGAGAACTATTTATGATGCTCCTACAAGAAGAAAATGAGCCTAAAAATGTAAAAGAGTCTCTCTCATGCCCTTCTAAGGATAAATGGACAAAAGCAATGGAAGATGAATTGGAGTCTATGAGAGTCAACAAAGTTTGGGAACTAGTTGACCTCCCTGAAGGACGCAAAGCAATTGGGAGCAAATGGGTTCTCAAAATTAAGCTCAAGGCTGATGACACAGTTGAGAGATTTAAGGCTCGACTGGTGGCGAAAGGGTATACACAGTAGAAAGGAATAGACTACGAAGAGACTTTCTCGCCTGCTATACGATTTACCTCTGTTCGCCTGGTTCTAGCTATTGTTGCAAGCCTGGATCTTGAATTACATCAGATGGATGTAAAGACTGCCTTTCTCAATGGAGAACTAGATGAAGAAATCTATATGAAACAACCTGGGTGTTTCATTGAAAAGGGCCACGAACAAAAGGTTTGTAGACTTTTGAAGTCTATTTATGGCCTCAAACAATCTTCAAGGCAGTGGTATATACGCTTTCAAAATATTCTTGTATCCAATGGTTTTACCATGATGGATGAAGACCATTGTGTTTATACCAAGAGATCAAGAAACAAGTTTGTGATTTTAACATTGTATGTAGATGACATACTTATAGCTGGAAATGATAAGGAGTTTATAACCGAGATAAAGTCATGGTTATCATCCNACAAGAGAATTACATTAGAAAAGTTCTTGAACGATTTAATATGCAAAATAGTAGCCTAGTTGAAACTCCTATCAGTAAAGGCCATACCTCGGGAAGTCAGATGTGTCCTAAGACTCTTAAAGAGACAGAAAGAATGATCCGAGTTCCTTATAGGAGCGCAGTCGGAAGTCTAATGTATGCTATGGTGTGCACTAGACCTGATATCTGCCAAGCAGTTGGCTTGGTAAGTAGATATCAGACCGACACAGGTTTAGCACATTGGCAAACAGTAAAGAGGATTATGAGATATCTGAAGGGAACTGCTGATTATGCCCTTTGTTATCAAGGCGGCAAGGATCTGCGATTAGTTGGATACAGTGATGCTGACCATGGAGGAGATCTAGACGAGAGAAAGTCTACCTCAGGATATGTATTCTTACTCAGTGATAGGGCCATATCATGGAGTAGTAAGAAAAAATCATGTGTATCACTATCTACGATGGAAGCCGAATATGTGGCTCTCGCATCAGCAACACAAGAAGTTGTTTGGTTGAAAAAGTTCTTGGAGCACTTGTTGGATATTGCTGAAACTACTAAAGCAGTATTAGTCTACTGTGACAGTGAGGCTGCAATATCCTCCACCAAGGACCCAAAGTTTCATTGTAAAACCAAACATATAGATATCAAGTATAACTATGCGAGGGACATGGTTAAACGCAAGGTAGTGAATGTGAAGTATGTGTCTACAAAAGATATATTAGCAGATCCATTGACCAAGCCTTTGTCTAGAGATGCATTTGTGAGGCACACTAGGTCTCAAGGCTTGCGTAGACTCTGAGATACTTTATTTTGTTATTTATTTTCCCGTGTTCTCAAACTGATGTTCTTTGATTATCAATAAAGTTGATTTACATACATACATATTTTTATTGTTGAATGTTATGTACATTCTTTGTTCATTTTTTATATATGTCGAGTAGACATGAGGTTGGCCTTCTCACACAGGAAACCGCCTCCTTATCTTAGTGATGTGAGGAGATGAGACATGATTTTAAGCAAAATTATCATAAGGATAATTTGAGAGCTATTCGCTTAAAATTAGAATGTCGCTTAAACAATGACATAAGGTCATTAGGGTGAAAAATGTTCACCTAGTCTACTTTGTGAGCCAGATGTGAGTTAAAAATGATATTGTGGATCAAAAAACTCAAATTTAGATACTTATGGCGTCTAAATATCATATGTACAGCATTCTTTATGAGATAAAGACATACGCTCCATGAAAAAAGGGAGAAAATGCTGTAGCACATGTTCATACCATGTGTGCTAATGTCGACCAATTGGGTTAACATAAGTCCATTCTCAACTTATTATTGTGTGAGACCCAGAGCTTTAGGATGGCTCAAGATTTTGTACCCTTAGAGACTCTGATCAGATACTTGAGACTTAGTGTGATGTTAGCTATCTTAGTGTATTTCCAAAAGACCATGGACACAGATTCGGTCTAGCGGAGCATAACTAGAAAAGCAGTCATACTAATGTTAAGGGAATCGTGAGAAGAGGAAGATCATTGATGGAATCTCATTTATTTGTATTCACTGGTGCACCAATTATAACTTATGAGTTATAATTGTGAATACAAGAAATAATGATATATGAGATTTTGAGACTATATCAAATGTGATTTACATGATCTAGGGTATTGCATACTTTATGATTTACTTGCAGGTTTTCACTCGACGAAAGGCTATATACTCCTAACAGATATATAGCACTTAGCTCTCACAGTATGCTGGTCGCACGATCTACTTCCCTGTATGAATGATTGAGGAGATGAGAATATGTTTCTCAGATTANAGGCTATATACTCCTAACAGATATATAGCACTTAGCTCTCACAGTATGCTGGTCGCACGATCTACTTCCCTGTATGAATGATTGAGGAGATGAGAATATGTTTCTCATATTAGATGAACACTCCCATTATGTGTGAGTGAGAGATGTAGGAAAATTGGGTCCACCCATAAGGGGTGCTTTAAGGCCCAATAGGGTTATTAGTTAACCCTAATATTCTCTATATAAGTACACTTAGTGTGTACATTAAAGTATATACTCCGCAGTATTTTTCTACGCTCTTCTCTCTCAATTATGATTAGGGTTTAGATTGTAGAATTAAGGGTTGCTCTAACACACCGTGACAATCACCACCGACCAATAATTCCAGCCGCGGTTCAATTTGTTTAGAAGATGGAGACCAAAGGGATTATCAATAAAATTGACCGAAATCTTTTGACAGAATGAATTCGTCAATTTCTTTCGTATATTTCAAATGAGTTGTCAATTCCGTAGCAATAACTCTGACAATTCCGTGTTATTTCTCCACTGCAATTGCAAATATGCTAACTAAATTGATTCTTTTCTAAAAAAAAAAAATATTAATTAAAAATTTATACATAATATAGAAGTATTTTCTAGTAAATGGCATCGAAGAAGGTAAAAGTCCGGCACTAGACCGGATTTTGGCTAATATCAAAATAAAATGAAATGAATTTGATTTCCTACTACTAATATTAAAAATTATCCTGTGTCAATCGCTGCTTTAATTTTTTTTCAAGTGGATTTCATATCTAAACACAATCACAAACTATTTTCCAACTGCAATCTCAAAGTTTTCCTTTTTTGAACTTCAACCAAATATTTTTTCTCTCTCAATGACAATGAGAATCCAAACTTACTCTATGTTAAATTAGAGATTCACATTCTTTCATAAAATACCCAAAAAACCGAACTTATTGTCCTTTAGTGCTTAGAACTTTCTAAAATTAAATTGATTTAACACATCATTATACTTGTGATAATATCAGATTAATTTAACGCATCATTACACTGGAAGGGTTGACTGAGTTAGTTGAGTGAGCTTGCCTAGTGCAGCCTACATTTTCTGTGTAGTTTACCAGCTATTGTAACATAAACAGATTAACCAGTGTTCACCCAAAGGATTGCGGCTGCGAGTTTCTCTAGGCAGTTTCTATATAAATAAAAAATTAATGCATCATTATACTTGTGATTAAAGGAATTTAGCAAAAAGAAATATTTGAATTTAAATAGCTTAATTCACAATTTCTTGATGTCTATATGCCATATAAGTTTTATGTTTTTCCAATTCATTATCCCAACAATTCCATTCGGGGTCGTTAGGTAGGATGCATTAAATAAAATAATGTATGCATTAGTTTTATGTATTAATAATATTTTATTTGTACACTTTTTGAACTTATGCATTAGCTATGCAAACATTAGTTATATACCCTATTTGCTATTATCCTATGCATAATTAATGCATAGAAAATCATGGGATTAACAATGCAATGAGTTTTAATGTATGCATTAATTTAGTTAAAGATAAAATTGCCCTTAAAAAATAGCTTGATTAAAATATGTTATTATATTAATGCAAGTTTGATATTGAAATTGCTCCCGCTATTTATATCTATACTTCGTCAATTTCTTCATTATAAATTTATAAATCCTTACTCTACTATTATGTATTGGAATGCACTTGTAATCAACTCATTTTCCTTTCATTTTCTTAAATCGAACTTCATTTGCCTAGTAATTCAAGAAAGTGGGAAATAAAATTATATCCCTAGTATATAAATAAATACTTAGCATATTTTCTGTTTTATAAATAAATATTCAGTTCTATACTACAATATAGGTAGACAAATGAAATAATATTTCTAAAACCTTTTTTTATAAAAATATTTCTCAACATGTATTTTTTTAAAAACGATAAAGTAATGGGAGAGTATTTTTGAAAACAAACAATTCTTTTAGAAATTGTACAATGCTATATAAATCAAACCAAAAATGGATAAAAAATATGTAAGCATAGCTAATGCAATCATAACAAATAACAGTATTACTAATATATTCTATTTAGCATTATTCTTATGCACGCTGTCAAACAGAAAGCTAATAAACCACGTAGAAAAATCGCAAAGCAAAAAAGAAATTTATAATAAATTTAAAAGAAAAAGCATCAAAAGTGGGTAAGTTTACTAGAATACCCTTGTTAGGTAACCTCCATAATATACAGACTTTAAAGTTTTAAACCCTAAATCCTTAAAAAAAAAAAAAAGTAAACCCTAAAAAGAGTACACTCAAAATCGCGGCTCTCACTTGTACCATCTTCAATTCAATGGCGGATTCAGTGATATCGTTGAACAAAGTCAAAGCTTTCTGGAATTCTCAGGTCCATGATGAGGAAAAGTGGAATCTCAACATGGTAACTCCTTTTCCTCTTCTTTCTTAGAAGTAATAGGTGATAGAATTTTTTGATCTGTCCCTAATTTGCTTAAATACAACTTATCTAATACTTTAAATGAAGTGGATTGAATGAAGCAGAATGGATACAGAGGATTTATATATATAGCCGACTTTAACTAGTTTTCAATTGAGATGTAGTTGATTGATTGTTAAATTTTAATAAAAGTAATTGGGTTAACAAGTTAATGAAAAGGTAAAACCCCTAGGGCTTTGGTTCAGCGGTGAGGATGGTGTATTTTACGAGTTTGAACCCTGCAATCAATAGCGGAACTAGGATTTTCACTAAGGGAAGTTAAAAAATTTGAAAAACATAAATACACGAAGAAGTGAAGGGGATTCATATTCAATACGTAGTGTATATGCATAAAACATAATTGACACCCCTTGGAGCTATGTTGCTCCACCACTGCCTGCAATTTCTCGTATTTAAGTGGGAGCAGGATAGAGGGCGGGCCTATACTCCTCCCAGTTTTGAACCTATGGATTGCTTAGTCATAAATTTATAATAAAAAAAGCTAATGATGTTACTAATTCTCAAGAGAGATCGCCGCTGAACTTTGCGCTGGGGTCTGTTTTTGAGGTAATATAAGAGGATTACATGTTGGAACTTATATTTCAAGTATGAGCGAAGAAACAGAGGAAGNAAAGCTTTGGTCAACAATGCAACTTTTCGTGGACATGTTCGGTTACCAACCTTGTTGTTTTGGAGGAGGGGAAGGGGGTGAAAGGATACAGATTATATTGCTTAACAAAAATAGCTCTAGTTGTTTACCAGAATCCTGCATATTTTCTTTGGATTCTGTTTTGTGTATGACCATGTCGATGTGTACCTAATCAGCAGTTGTTGAGGGGATAACATTGCAAATCCCTTGATTTTTTCAGCTCTATTCTTTAGTAAGAGAAGAATTTCCAGCAAAAATATATTTTGTGTGCTTCAAGAACAAATTTTGTATGCTTGTTTGTTGTCACTTTTTTGGTCTACAGGCTTTTTATGAGACCATAAATTTTCTTTTGGGATTTGGGTCTGAACAAAAAGAGTTTTTTTTTTGTGAAAAGCATTTCTCAACTAATTTTGATTTGAACCCTGTTTGTTTATTTTAAATTTGGGTCAGAAAAAAAGGATATTGTTCTCGTGGAAAACATTTCTCAACTAATTTTGATTTGTGCCCTGTTCGTTTTTTTATTTGGGCCCTGTTCATCCTTTTTATTTGGGCCCTGTTCATAGTTTCAGCATAGTTGATCTTCCCTCTTGATCAAAAGATGATAATGTATGTTGGTCTACTCGGGATTGTGTTGATGCAGATGTAGAACCAATAAGGTTTAGTTGGTGAGATTACATCTGATAAAGATGCCCTTAACTAGCCTATATGCTGGATTTTGTTGTCTGACGTTTAAACTGACAGTGTGCCCGAGTTTCCAAAATCTACCGTGCCCAGCCGGTGCAAAAGAAATTTATTGGTTGGACTTAAGACCTTAAGACTGAGACCTGTAAATGTGGTGCTGGAGTGGATTTAATTTTTGTAAGCCCAAAACTAAAACCACCCATGCTAACCATATTAAACATGTGCTTTCTTTGTTAAAAGATCATCTCATTTGTGTTTGATACTATGTATTCAACCCGTGCTCACTATATTGAATGTGTAATTTCTTTGTCAAATATCATCTCATTCTTGTTTGATACTGTGTATTCGATAATGACTAATAATTAATTTACCATTATCTTGACTCTGTAATCTGATTTTGTTTGCAGCTGTTACATACATTGTGATTTTGCTAGTCAATGTTTTATGGGGTACATAAGAAGCATATCGAACCGATGCTTTTCAATGAATAGAATAACAACAACAACAACAACAACAACAAATCCAGTTTAATCCCATAAGTGAGGTCTAGGGAGGGTAGTGTGTACGCAGACCTTACCCCTACCCTATAAAGGTATAACCATTTAAAAGAAAAATTGCCTGGAGAAAATGAAATGTAGGCGTGTCAGTTAGCTATTCGTAAACAGCTTCTGCCCCACGCCCCTCAAAAATATGGGTGGATGAAAGCAGTTTTATTGTTCATAATAAGTCGCTTTGCAGGTTCTTGGTGGTATATCCGATGTTCAATGGTTATATCAACGAATATTTGTCATGCTTGTTTAAAAATTTAAGCAGATAATAGTACATTATTTTTGTGCTTGTCCGAAACAAAATGATAGCATTTTAGTCTCACGTCCTATTTAACTTTTGGTTTTGCATACCTTTTTGCAGAAACTGCTTCGAGCTTCAGCACTCTTTGCAGGTTCCATCATTTTGATGCGCCAATATGGTGATCTCATGGCTATCTGAGGAGCCATGGATATACATTCTCAAGGTCACGTTTCCAGTTGGACGATGACCTAAAATCTCAGATCACCTCTTTTTCTAAGTATGAAAGACTTCCTATGTAAGAAAATAGCTTACTGTTATTGATATTGGATTTCCTCAACATCTCCTTTATGGAGTCTATTCTGCTGATAGTCACATTTCATTCTAATTTTCCTTTATCAGCCAGCTATTACTTGATTTTTTTTTTGTACTAATAATCAATTAGCAGATTGCTTTCAGTGCTGTAGGTGCAAACGAGAGAGCCTTTTGTTTAAATGTGCAAAAGAGTTGGAAAGATTGCAACGAGATTTAAAAACACGACCATGTGGATTTGTAGTTTGTGGAAATTCATACTAGATCGAAAAGTTTGTGCAGTTTATAGATGAATGGGATAAATGTGGATTGTAGTTCCAACAATCCGACGAATGTTTTATCCTTTAAACACTACTCCTTCTGTCTCACAATAGGTGAACAATTTACTTTTTTATTTTGGTCCAAACTAAGTGTCCATTTGTATAATCAAGACAAAATTCAATTTGTTTTTTCAAAATTACCCTTATGTATGTATCCCTAAAAAGTCTTTTATTCTTCACATTACATTATGTTGCAATATTTAATTAAGAGTAGTTTATTCGCACTAATTATTTCTGTCTAGATTTTAGTATTTTCTTAATGGGTGTGCCTAAAGCAAATTGATCACTTAGAGGGTGTTTGGCTAAGTAAGCTGGTCAAACTGGCTTATAAGCGCTTTTTGCCTTATCTACGCGTTTGGTAAAATTAAAAGTACTTATAAGTTAAATGCTTATAAGCCAAAAGCCATAAGTTGGTCTCCCATAACTTATTAAATTTTAGCTTATAAGCACTTTAGGTTGACCAAAATATTTACTATTCTATTTTTAAAATATTTCTTTTTAAAACAAAACTCTTCGTATAGCCAGTTTTTCAGCTGCTTAATATTAATTTCAGCTCTTTTATTCAAATACATAACTGCTTATTTTTTAAATCAGTTTCAACGCTTAAAAGTACTTTTTAACATATAATGCTTATGAGCTACTCTAAATCAGCTAAGTCAAACGGGCTCTTAATGTGAAACGGAGGGAGTAAGTCAAACGAGCTCTTATTGTGAAACGGAGGGAGTAAGATATCTCTTTAACCATAATATATAAACGATGTAAAAGCAGTTCATACTTAAATATAAATGGCTTATTAAGCAAATAGACACGTATTCACACGGAATTATGGTGTCCGATCTGCTTTTTCTCTTTAGTTTACCTTTTTCCTCACTTCTACTATATAATCTTTTCTGAATGTTATAGAAATGTTCCAAATAAGTTTAAACTTACCAACCTTTAGTCATTAATTATATATTTGTTGGAAAAATATTGGAAGGTATTAGATTATGGATAATAAGATTTAGCTTGAGATGTGTCAAAGACATTGTCCTTAAAGATATTTCGTCCATATCGTGATAAATAAAATTAGGCGTATCCTTCAGGATTCAACAAACTCTTCTAGTATAAACTAGGAGCAGAAACAACAAAGATTAACAAAGATAATCCAGCAAACTACAAGAAAAGAGAAGAAAATTTTGTCTTCAAATCTGTCTTCTAATGAAAGGACTACATAATATTGTAGACATGTGATTTTTGACCCTCCCCAAGATTTTTCATATTTTAGCACGTAAATATTTAATTTAGGCCTAATATAGCTATTTCAACTCATTTTTACTCTTTTAATTTATTTTATTACAAGAAAATAAAAATTACAAAAAAATAGTTTCATTAATATTTTGTAGTCATTTTTAATCTTGAAAAATACCCAAAAATAGTTTTGTTTTAACTGTCAGTCTTATTTTAATAGTTATTTTACTTAAGTAGGATGAATTAATAAATAAGGTCGCATTTTTAATCTCGTTCGGGGGGAAAGAATAAATCTTGGGCTCGAGCAACCTATTTTTAGGCCTAATTTTTGGACCTAGCCCATAATTCCCAAGCCCATTTCCTGAGCCCAATACCCTTAACACCTTTCTTAAAACCTAGGGACCTAATACACAAAAGACCTAGGGACTAATTAGCAAAATATAAGAAATAACCTAAACCTAGACCTATACTATGGAGGGGTCCACCGTTTTGACACAGAAAAAAGAGAAATGGACCTTCGATCATCATCTTCTTCAGAAGACAAAATAAAAAATAGACCTTAGGCACTCTCAAACCAACGCCGCAACAACCAAAACCAAATGACCCTCCGTTCTTCATCTTCTTCTTCGTTTCTGAATACACACACACACATACAAAACAGAGATCGGGAATTTCAGTCCAAAAAAATCAAGTGAACAGTAGTGAAAACAGATCTGGGACGAGCCAAAAACAGGGTCAAACCCTTTCTGATTTCAAGCGATGTTCAGCTGCCAAAGTTCCGGTGGCGATTTGGTCTTTGTTCTGGTTTATATTTCGATTTTTATTCGCGTTTCAGGTATGAACTTTCGATTCGAAATGCTGTAATCGTTATTGGATGCTCTATTACACTGAAATATATAATAATTTTTCCTTTATCACTCTGAAAATTTCGTTACTCGTTTTCCTTTTCCTCTGTTTCATTTCGTCATTTATATGATGATTTGAGGCCTCAATTTTGACTATTGATCAGTTACGTGAGGTTATGCGGTATTTTGAACAGTATATACTTTGTATACCCAGTTGGGAAATGCTTGGATATTTGTGTTTTCTTGTTTGTCTTTCAATTTAGTGTCGTTTCTATTTGGTTTAATTATAGTATGCTTTTGTGAGTCTTAACGAAATGTGGATCCCGTTGTGTTGTTCTCTTAATCGGGTTCTGTGGGTCTAATATAGAATTCAAGAATTAATACGTAATATGGTTATTGGTTGATATAAAAGGGTTAATAAATTTTTCCAATATTAATTAGGATGACACTTTGAAATGATTTAGAGTTACCCTCCTTTTGATGAGGTATCGTTGTTGCTAATAGTCTAAATTTCATTTGCAAGTGATTCTAAGGGATGAAAAATGTTCTTTCCTGTAGCTTAAGTGCGACAGAGCTGAGCGTTGCATCAAAGTTTTGGGCTCGGTTCTGAGTTTCCGTGATCTTGCATAGCTCAGTTAAAGACCATATCTTGTAATCAAATCTCGAGTTAATTTAGGAATTACGTCATGAATCTCGTAGTTTGATTTAGGCACATAATTAAACTATTACAACTACGGGTACGATTCTCGTGACATGGTTGGGGTACTTGTTTTTTTTTTTAAATTAAATAAATAGGAATATCTTTAGTTTGCCTTCAAAAGTATATATACAAACCTTCTTCTTTAAAATAATTTGAGATGCGCCATACGCAAATAAAATTCATAACATATGGCCCTCACATAAATACAAAGCCAGTTTAGAAAATGCTCCGAACTCTCGTAGCTTTCTTTAGGAGCGTTAATTATATAATTGTCATAGCTACGGGTACGGTTCCCGTGACGTAGTTGTGACGCTTAACCACTAAAATTCGGGGGTACATTTATGTGACCCGACCACAATTTAATCTTGTTAATAAAATAAACATGTTGTGGATCGTGGGTACGGTTCCCGTGATATAATTTGCAACGTGTAATCAAATAATTAATTGTATAATAATTGGATTATTAAAAGCGGTTCTTAAAAAAGAGTTTTAAAATGCACATAGGTTTCAAAGATGTTTTAAAATCAGATAAATAGGCCAATAATAACAGTTGAGCGACCGTGCTAGAACCACGGAACTCGAAAATGCCTAACACCTTCTCCCAGGTTAACAGAATTCCTTACCAGAATTTCTGTGTTCGCGGAATGTAAAACAGAGTCAATCTTTCTTCGATTCGGGATTTTAAACCGGTGACATGGGACACCATAAATTATCCCAAGTGGCGACTCTGAATTTTAAATAAATAATCCCGTTTCGATTGTCACTTAAATTAGAAAAACTCCCTTATATCCCTTACGAGGGTAGTAAAAAAGAGGTGTGATAGCTCTGACGACTTTGCTGGGGACAAGAACCCAGAATCTCTGGTTCAGGGTTCAAGAATTCAAGCTTAAAATAATCGTTATATTTGGCTTTGTTTATTATCTGATTTTTTACGTGTGTGAGCCTAATATGCTAAATGTCGGGTTTTTACCACTTTGATATTATTTGAATTGTATATAAACTGCTACGAAACCCTTTTCTTCTCATTTCCAGGAATGTGCACGCTGACATGACTCCTCTTCTGTTAGTGTCATACCTTAAATTAGGAAGAGGCTCAGAAAAGTTACAAAGCCGGATGGCTTTTGGTTCCCGGTACGTAGCCCCCCTCGGCTCGAGTTATCCGCTCGGGTACACAAGTCTAGAACAACATACCCAGGTTTTGAACTTATAATAACTCAGCCTCATGCCGGATCCCTAGTAGGAACGTTTGTTTGCATCATGTGCATCTGACTTTGGGGACTCAACACAGGGGCTAGGTCCGTCTAGGACAGGTGTGCCCAAAAATAAAAGACCATCCTGATGCATCCTATGTGCTACATGTTACAATTTTCAAGGGTAAAAGGGTCATTTGGCGGATCAATGATAGATGAGGGCAAATGAAAAAGAAAAAAAAAGAGAAAAAGAGGGTGAAGTGTGAAAAATAAAGCAAGTAGGGCCCGATTATATTTTCTGTCACATTTTTGTTAAGGAAAAAAAAAAGCATGAAAAGTCAAAAAAAGATTTTGCACTTTTTCATCATTTTCCGAAAATAAAAAAAAAACCAAAAAAAAAGAGAAAAAAGAAAATCCAAAAAGAGTTTACATGTTTCATCATTTTTCAAAACAAAAGACAAAAATATTTTTTTTCTCTGAATTAGTTGTTATTTTTATTTCTCGCCCGTATCCAATTTGCCCGAACTACGCATACCTGATTCTCGTCTTTCGGGGCGTGATACGTAGGCAACCCATATAGGGTTCAGTCTTCCTAGTGAATCTTAGGTTCTTGGCTTTGCGGGGTCTTAGTCAAATTTTGCACTTCTAGCCACCTTTTGGTCACATAAGCTATTTTGCAAAAATAGCCTCAATCATGTCTTGCATGCGTATAATAGGGAGTGTTATTGTCTCACCTAGTGTTGTTTTGAGTTTTTTTTTTATACATGTGTGGATCTACTTACCGGAGTTTGAGCATCACAGACACTCTGTGACCATCCAGTAAGGATCGCTCATTCAAGAGTTGCTTAAGGAGATTTGTTTTATTTTTTTTTTTTATGTTTTGAGTCTGTTCTTCATTTTATGTCGTCTTTTACTTTCTAGTTTTGTACAATAATGTCGAGTCTTTGTTATTCTACTTTCTACCTTTTATTTAAAAAAGTGTGCTGTAACTCAAAAATTCAAAAAAGAAGAAGAGATTTCGCGTTTTATATTTCTATTAGAAGTTTTTTTGAGAATATTAATTCTTTCAACGTGGTTTTCCTTTAGGAAATTAATTTCTAGAACTCAAAATAAAAAAAATGACAGTTATATTTCCTTTTAGTACATTAAGACTAAAAATTCAAAAAAAAAAAGAGAATTTTCTTTTAGTACCTCTTTAAAAGTTTTCTTTAAGATTT